CAGCAGCAGCAATATCAGCAGCAGCAACAACATCTGCAGCAGCAGCAATAACAGCTAATAGAAGCAGCAGCAGCATCATCTACAGCAGCATCAGCAACAGGACGGCAGCAACATCAGTCACCCTTTCCAACACACTCGTACAGGCAGCCCAGCAAGGATATACTTTCTGCATATATCATTTCATATTCATATAACGATGTGTAAATTTCAAATCGCTGCATTAAGTTTGCATTTTCAACATTTTACGTGTAGCGAAAAGCGTGAAACCAAAACTCCGGCCAATTGCGCCCACAAAGCTGAGCTACATCAAAAAAAGGTGGCCAGAGGAGGGTTGAGGCAGCGGGGTTTGGGGATGGTGCCGAGTTGAACCCCTTGTGAACCCTTTGAACTCGCTGCGTGTGCAAGTTGTTGCTGTTGCCTTCGCTGCTGTTGCTGTTGCAAATGCGAAGTTAAACGCCTTCAAGCTGAAATAATCGGGCTAATCTTTTACGCTGCTTGCATTTTAAAGCGCTACCCACTTTTTGTTTTTTCTTCTTTTTTTTTCCTTCTAGCTGGGCTTTACTTGACTCCACTCGGTGGGGGCTGGTGGACAGGGGAGCAGGGTTAGGGTTTAGTCGGTCTGCATTTTGCATGCATGCTTGCGCTTTGCTACCTCTGTCTCTACCCCCAGTCTCTCTCACTCTTTTGCTCTTCCTCCCTCCCCCTCTCTCTCTCTCTCTCCCCAACTCTAGCCACATGTGTGCTCTGGTTTTTTCTTCAAATTGTAATTAAATGCGTCGCGCAAAGTCAAATAAAAAAAAAAATTACAAAACGATATAAAAAGCATTTGCAGGTAAACAATTTAAAAGTAAATAAAAATGTGCATTTTAATCAGTTCCATATTAAATGGGAACATTTTTTCTTATTGTATTTGAATTCAGCTATAGTTCGACTTGAATATGAAAAACAATAAAGAAAAACTTAAATATTTGTAATACAATTAATATTTAGAGAGAGAAGTAAGATATGGAGAGAGATAGAAAAAGATGGGAAATTGTGAGAGAGGGAGAAGTATCGATAGAAATAAAGAGAGAGAGAGAGATGGAGATGAAGTGAGAGAGTATTCCTATCTATAATTTAGCTAATATTTATATAATATATGAATGAAAGAGAGAGAGAGAGAGAGAAATAGAGATGGAGATGAAGTGACAAGGTAGCTCCAATACTATGCATGTGTTTCTATATATAATTTAGTTAGAATTAATATTATTCTTAATCCCACTTATTGGCGCTTTACTGTACAGCATTTATTTGACCATTAACTTGTTCCTTCCTTTTTTATGTACTATATTCATTGGAATCTATAGTTTGACCAGAAAATTAACGCCTGCATGACCGCACTGCATGAATGCAACCGCATTGCTACATTTTTAATCTACAATTAACCGCAACTGTTTGGTCCTCTGGCAGCAGCGGTGGGTGGATGAGCAATTCTGTTTGGGCTTGGGCTTGAATTTGGGGTCGACAGACCCGGGTCCAATATCAATATTGATTCTATTAATTATAAAAACATTAAGTGCCAGCCAACAAATGTAATTAAACGCATTAAACAATTGCAATGTGCGAGAAATGGCGTTAAAATGCAGCTCCGGCCAGGCGGTATCCGCACTGCAGTCGTCCTCCGTCCGGCTGGTCTGCTCTGCTCCTGGTTCGAGTTCAGGTCCAGGTCCAGGTCCGGGTTCGGGTTCAGGTTCAGGCCACCCTGCTGATGCGCGCCGATAAGCACGTTTTCAATTCACATTCGCAGGTGGACGCCGGCTACTGCTGTGTGGAGGGGGCGTGGCCGGTTGCTGGGATTTGTGGCGCACGGCTGGCCGACTGGGATTGTCGCACATTAATGACGAAATTATTGTTTCAATTGCTTTCAACTGTTGTCAATGCAAATTTTATGCAAATATTTTTCGGTGCCATCGGACTCTTAAATGCCATTATGGCCAATAAGTCAATAATTATTGCCATGGCAGTGTGTTGTTGTTGTTGTTGTTGCCACATTTTGTTGCAGCTATTATGGGCCACAGTCGAGAGCCAGAGCCTCTGCCCCGGCCCCGGCCTCGGTTTCCTCATGCAATATGGCCAATTCCCCGAATAGGCGTTAATTACTTTTATCTGCGCATTGTCACACTACAATAACAATTACAACAACAACAACAACAGAAACAACAATCGCTGATTGCATTTGCCAACATTTGCTCAAATTCGTTTATTAATTATTATTATTATTTATGCACTTTTGTTTACTTTGTTTGGCCGCATAAATCAATGGCTCAATTGTTGTATTTAAATTTGAAAATAATTAGAAATATTGTTTCTTTCATTTATTTACAATAAAATATTTTTTATTCGAGAGGGATAAGCGTATTTATATAGAGAGGTAGCTGCTGCAGTTTCAACTAATTTCTAGTGATTTTGATTATCTTTAAATATATAGCTTAAAATATAGTAGCTTTGATGCTTTATGTATTTGTCTCTGCTTAAGCTTGAGCACAAACTTGAAGTGTACGAATATTCTTAAAGCTGAAGCGCTTTATTATTTATTTGTTCGCTAGATTAATCGATGAAAATAATGCTCGTTCTCGAACGAACACTTTGGTTCTGTTCGTTCTTTTGTTTCAGTTCTCTATTGAGCTGCTCGTGTCACGCTCTTCTAACGAACATCGTTTTAGGGAGGAGCGATACGATTGATGTTCGCACAGTGAGAACCAGTAAGTGAGCAATTATTCACACAGAAGTCGATACACACACACATACACTCAATGTACATACACAACCTCGCATAGATACCAATACTTACATACATAAGAGATTCTGTTTCCTCCAACTGTGGTCAACGCTTGGAGAGCAACCAGGGAAATGAAAAGTTTCTGCCGATAGCGAAGGAATTTCAGGAATCCATGCCATCGGTTGAGCTCTGAGTCCTTTCTCAGAGAGTGAGTATGACTGAAAGTTCAGTTAGATATGTATTTACATACATACATACATACATATACTACATACATACATATATTGACATCGAGAAACGATCAACAATTATTTGCGAGCTATTTTCAGAGTAGAGATTCTAATTAGCTGCATTCATGCATGTACATATGTATGTATGTATATAGGTGTGTATGTATGCATGCACATACATAAATATGTATGTATATCAGAAAGTTTCATTGAAATCATAAAAGTAAATACTGTAAGTAAATATTATAAACATTAAAATTATAAGTTTAGCCCTCCAGCACAACTTTAATAGAATTTTTAGCATGGGATATTTTACTATATCCCTGATATTTACATAGTTTGGGCTTTGGGGCATAAAAACTGGTTTTCTGGCCCGGCTAAATGTGAGCAAACGTAATTTATATGGCCAATTGGACAGGAGACGCCAAGGAACTAAATGGCCGGACTTTGCGCAGTAGCTGTTGCTGCTGCTCCTGCTGCCGCTGCTCCCGCTGCTGCTGTTGTTGCCACACTCTGTCTACGGTCCTGCTGTGGGTCGTATAATATAATTAATACTATGAATTACTTGAGCTTCGCACTAAGCCAAGCTGAGCGCCACACACAAACATCCAAAGTGGGAGCTGGCGTCAAATGGGGGCAGCGAGAGGGTCGGCTCGCTTGGCTAACAGTATTTGTTGTTGTTGTTGCTGTTGTTGTTGGGTGTATTCCAACACGTTGCTGCTTGGTCAGCCACATGCACTTAATTGCTTTATGAGGCGGTCACTCGCTTGTTATGGACTTCAATTTGATTTCGCGCAAGTGCCGGAGCAGCAAGTGTGTGCTGTATGTGTATGTGTATATGTGTGAGTGTGTGTGACTGGGTGT